TCGTGAATTTAGTAATGATCAGCTTGTAATTAAAATGTTTAGGTCACTCTCGGAAGAATGGATTACATTGAAAATGTTGATAGAAAACACCAAATATATCAACACGTATCTATTGGAAGAGCTCTATGGAACATTGATGACATATGAGCTAAATCGCACTGAGACGAATGAGAAAACGTTGAAAAGCATAGACGAGAAAAAAACGTCAAGTTGCTTTCAAATCCGTTGTTGATGAAAGCACTCCGAGCAAAAATATGAATGATGAAGGAACAACAAATAACATGAGCGATAAGAGCTCGATGACTTGGTCCGTCTTGTCAAGAAATGTAGAGGTTTTCGAAACAATCAAAAATTTCAAAAGAAGATGAAAGTCAAGAAGACTCTCAAAGCGACATGGAATGAAAGCGATGATGATGAACGAGATGAAGATAAAGGTCGAGGAGAAATCGCCAACTTGTGCTTCATGGCAATTGATGATGAGCAAGATTCAAGAAATGAAAACTTCTATGAGCTCATAAATCAAGTGGACAAAGGATAATCAAGGTACTTCTATAAACATAACAAAATATCAAGGTATGATCAACCCTTTTCTTTAAATTACAAGTAAACTCGATATTATAGTTAGTATGTGATTATGTGCTAAATTTGTTTATCATGCATGATCAAACCGGAATTATTTCTATAAAGTATGATGACTTCTAAATGTGATTAATTATTTCAATGAATTGAGGAAATATGAATTGCTAATATGAATTTTAGCCCCTGTTTGGCCCCCATCAATTTTTATTTTTGCACATTATCACACATTTCAACAAACAAACCTGTCAATGGAGTCAGTTCCGGATCAGACTCATTTATTGCAAAGACAGCCGTTGGGAATTTAAAGGACGAAAACACCCTTCTCCTCATTTTGACATTTCCACAATAGTAGGGGCGTAATTGTCATTTTGGCAAGGAGTTGTTATATTAAAAAATAAGAAACTCATTTTCAATTCATTTATGTTGCATCAAACCTGTCCATGGGTCCCAGCCGCCTACTATAATTGACTGAAGAAAATGAAATGTAATGAGCCAAAATGAATTTTAATGGGGCGCAAACAGGGGCTTAGTGATGTGATCTATTTATTCAATGAATTGTAGAAATGCATGCTATCTTCATATGAAAATGATATAGACACAATCTTGGTTTGTATTGAAGGTGGAATATAAGTGAAAACTATAGGGATAATATATTACTATCTTCTATGGTTGATTTAAAAGTTTGAATAAAGTTATGTGTACACAATAGTGTACACAATCTTTTACACCCCCCTCACATGGAGGGGGTCCACACATAATAAAATAATCATGGACCTCCCTCCACGTGAGGGAGGTGTAAAAGTTTGTGTACACCTCAGCATCACTCTAAAAGTTTTGATCTTATATACTATCAATTTTATTTTATTTTTTGCTTATGTAAAAAGGGGAAGATGGATAGATAATTATGCATGATAAAGAGCAATAGATATATAACTTGATTTATGCATAATAGGGAGAATGTTGAAAATGGGAAATGCAAATTCTATTCAAGTGATTTCACTTTTGTCATGTACATCACTCATACTTTGATTAATATTTTACTATCAAGTGATGATTAT